CCACCAAAGGGGGTTCCTATTTTTCTACTTGCATTTTTTACGTGCTTTCAAACTGCTAGGTTGACAGAAGCTGGGATAAGTAACGGGAGCTCACTCCGTTATGTGGCACTAGGGATTCAAACCGCCAAACTGCCGACCTTTCTGATCGATAAGCTCAGTGTCTTAGCCACTGAGCCACTGCATCCCTGGACCAGCATATTACAAAGAGGCAAAATGTTGGAAATGGTGTCACAGTCCCAGCCCCAAACCTTTTGTACATGCAATGCTACATTTGTCCCTTTTTGATCCCTGGCTCCCGTGGACACTGCTGAGTAAACCACTTCTGTATTGTTGCCAAGAAAATGAAAGGGAAGTGTTCATGTAATTCCCAGGAATTGAGCTTGATTCCAGGAAGATCCTACCTCAATCTTTTCAGGTTACAACCCGATTTCTGAAATGGTTAGCCAGCAGCCGCATGAGAATTCAGGGTGACTCAAAAGCCACATAACCTACCACTATGTTTAGAAATGTGAGTTTTGGATTATAGCTTACATGTTCAAACATTGCAGTTCTGTTGGTGGTCTGACTGTATTTGACTGGTATTCTTTATTATATAAGGTCTAACTATACAATAATTACAAATAATACATAAATTAGCACTTGGGTTTGAGTAATACCTCTTTGCTCAATTCAAGTAAACAAAGTGCTCTGAAGATAATAGTGAAACAAGTACTGGTAATAGCCCAGCTGTAAGCAGTTGCCTGCCCAGATTTATTAAGGTCATGTTGCTTGGACTAAAGCAGTATTTTTTACATGGGATATGGAAAATTATGGTAAAGCAAGCATATTTCTCGCGTTAATAAAACTAATAATGATCAAATTTACATAACAAATCTAGAAGAGTGGAAAACTGCTGAGCATTTTTAAAGGTTTTGTGTATATCACAAGAGGCAATCCTTTGTAGGGATAACAGGTAAGAATATCATATTTTTTTATTCTTTCCCTCTTTACTATCTGCTGACCATCCCTGTATGTGCAATGTGAGCTAAAAACAATTCCCTGCTACAATGCAACATATTATAGTTACTTGAAACTGCATGCCAACGTTTGAAGTTGTGTGGCATAAGATTAAAAGACCTATCCAAACCATAGCTGTGCAGGCAAAGGGTTGTAACAGAGAAAGCTTACAAGCAGTGCAACTGCTCCTAAATAAAAGGTCCTTTCCTATCTCTTGGCATCAGATCTCTTCCATGCAGTTAAGCTAGCTGCCGTTTCACAACACTTTTACTCATTTCTCCCCCCCCCCAAGATTACTCATGTTAGTACCAGAAATCTGTGGAGCAGATAACTGTTCATCAGTAACCACAAAGGACAATACGCTGATAAGATGTGATGTAACTTAAGCCTCAAGGATTACTTGATGTGTGTAGTTCTTTTCTGGGAGAGGAGGGGCGGGGGGAATGAAAATAGCCCAGATATTTAGAGGCATTGTCTGGGAATCCAACTATTCCTCTGGCCCAGCCCACCCAGCAAGTTCAAATGATTTACAAATCACAATCTTTTCCCTTAACAAATTTACCCAACATTGGTGTGTGAGGATATTTTTGGCTCTTTCTTTACACATTTGCATATTCAGTATATAGGATGATAGTAGCAAACCCTAGAAGTCTATCCCCCCCAATACCTTAAGAATAAACAACTTTTACAGAGAAGAAGGGCACTTAAATTCTAGACTTGCAACCCCAAGTTCTATATTGCATGATAAGTGGGTTTCAAATGCATAACAATTGCAGAATTCTAGTTGCATAAACTTTCCTTGAATGGGGAGGGAGAATGTTTTTGGGATTCTATTTCATTTTCTAAGCCCCTGTAGACTTCATAAAACAGTGGTTAAGAGTCTCACAAAATAAATCAATATTTGGTTTAAGTGTAAACTGACTGTGATTTGTGACCCATTGTTTGTATGACTCAGGGTGCTGCGTAAACCCAGCAAGTTCTACTTGAGTTAAGAAACTATGGTTAAAACAAACAATGGCTTAGCACAATGGGCAAAGCCTTAAAAGCTCATGTCACAATATACAGTTGTCTCTCCCACCATATCCAGAGTGATTCCAGGTATTCTGTCTTCCAAGGTGGATAAACCTACATATTTCTTAATTGGGGGCTGGCAGTTGAATCTTCCGTAGAACTGATAAGACAAAACTCCCGCACCTTATCAGAAGGCAAACTGGAGGAGGCTGTTCATGCCAGATCCCACAGTTGTGTCCCCCCCCCCAAAGGCAGTGGTAGAACATGACCCCTTCCCATCCAACAAGGCACCTTTTCTTTTGCTTAAAAGTGGCTTCTGATCATATCCCGTTTGGGAGCAACTTCCTCAAATCAAACGTCTGAGCCACCATGGAAATGTTCCTCAAAGCTCCTTTACAGATGGCTGCTAGTCCACACGAAATATACATACGGTAGTGTAAAACATGTTTTATCATGGTGGGTCCCTCTCCTGCTTTTTCTCCCCACCTGTTGGGACCCTCATTGAAGCAAGTCGAGAAAGTTGCTGCACCTCTGGAGCCTTAATCTCCTCCATTTTTCGGTTAGAAAGATCCAAATGAGGCATACTTTATTCAATCATCTTTATTAATAATGTTATAAAAAGCTCATAAAAAACAGGTATTTTACAAAAAAAAAAAAGATAAAAGAAGCTCAATATACCACCAGCTCAGAAATCACATAAATAGACTTGTGGGGTGTATTTTTTTTTTTTTTTTTGGTTTTTCTTTTTCTTTTCTTGCTTTCCTCAAAAACCAAAACTGGCAATTCTGGCATCTCCCAATTTCAGACTCGGTTTCCTGGCGCTCCAAAACCATTTCGAAACCGGTCATCATAAAG